GGTTTCTTCAAAAATAGATTAGGCAGGCTTCCTTTATCCACGTCAGCTCACCTCCCAAAATAAAGTAGACTGACATGATGGGGTTGGGTTGTTAACCCAATGTCATTGTTCAGTATATTACTTGAAAATAGCAAAGGTACCCTGGCCAATACACAGCTGTAAAATCCAGAATGGAGGCCAGGTCTTCTTCATAGGCAAGAAAGAAAGTTATAATGAGATGGCTTTGGGGAAGATTTGGACACCTCTGGAAACTAACTGAGGAACAATGTTAGCAGAGTTCTGGATTTGACGCCAGAAGAAGCAGAAGGAGAAGAATTTAGAAATGCTAGGGCAGACTATAATGGAAAATAGTAACTGTCAAACCTGATGAAAGTTTAACAAAATCTATTGGGGAATATTTATGTTGTAGGAGTATATTTAGTGTTTGGGCTGTTTTCTCACTGCCCTTTGCGAGATTGCCTTATTGCCCAATACATTGAATACGGACAGAACCATGGATGAACATTCTGCTGATATGTTCACCCAGTTTGTGCCAGTTGGCAGTCAGCTCATGGGCAGAGAATGAAAGCAAATATGTCCGTTTTCAATGAAAACTATTACCATAGAACAGGCAACAGGCAGACATCCAGATCATATCAATCAGATTCTTCCCTTTTAGAATTGTTACCTTTCATTGAAAATTTAAAGGCAAAGTCACTGTCACATTCACCCCCACTGAATTTCCTAAAGTTCTGAACTGACACAACATTGAGATATATCTTAGAGATAGTAAGAACTGCCGATGCTGGAGTCTGGGATAACACAGTGTGGAGCTGGAGGAACACAGCAGGCCAGGCAGCATCAGAGGAGCAGGGAAGTTGACATTTCAGGTCAGGACCCTTCTTCAGAAATGGGGAGGGGGAAGGGAGCTCAGAAGTAAATACAGAGAGGAGGGGTGGGGCTGGGGAATGTAGATGGAATGGTGATAGCTGAGTGCAGGTAGGGCGTGGTGGGGATTGGTCAGTGAAGTGGGAGGGACGGATAGGTGGGAGAGAAGATTGACAGGTTGTGTCAGGTCAAGGAGGCAGGGATGAGAGGGAGGGTTGATCATGAGATGAGGCCGGGGGTGGGGAGATTTTGAAATTGGTAAAATCCACATTTAGGCCACTCCTTGGGTGACATATCCATCCTGGGCCTTGTCCAGTGTCCCAATGACGCCACCCGGAAACTGGAGGAACAGCACCTCATATTCCGCCTAAGGAGCCTACAACCTAATGGTCTCAATGTGGACTTCACCAGTTTCAAAATCTCCCCACCCCCAGCCCCATTCCATTACCGACCCCTCCCTCTCATTCCCACCTCCTCAACCTGACACAGCCTGTCAATCTTCTCTCCCACCTATCCGTCCCTACCACCTCACTGACCAATCCCCACCACTGCCTACCTGCATATCACCAACCCACTTACCTTCCCCAGTGCTTTATTCCAGGATATACAGAAATATGGTCATCAGCAACAGGGATTAATTTGTTTCTCTTTACTTCCTACCTTTTTTCTTTTGTTTATATGTTCCAATTTTTACTTGATATCTCATCTGGTTGGCTTGATTTCCAATAACATCTGTTAGTTGTGTAGTGATCCCTAAGTTGTGTTGTGATCTCTACCTTTGTCATATTTCCTGAGATTAGACAAGAAGGGTCGCAAGTATGAAGAAATTTGAGATTTCTCTCAGTCTTTGGAAACTTTCCCAGACAGCAGTGGCGTCATCAAATACTATTAAGGTAGAGCTAAATAGATTCTTACTAATGAATGAGTAAGTGGCTGTTGGGGAAGGCAGGAATGTGGAGTTGAGGCCACAGTTAGATCTGTCATGATTTTATTGAATGTTGGAGTAGGCTAGATGTGCCAACTAGTCTACTTGTGCTCCTAATTCATATGTTCATATGAAAGATGGGAGAGTGCTAGCCTGAACTGGAACTTCAGGAGATTTTGATTTCCATAGCAAAAATCCATCTGAATGCAGGGAAACTGGCTGAACTGATTGTAAATACAGAGATAGTAGGAACTGCAGATGCTGGAGAATCTGAGATAACAAGGTATAGAGCTGGATGAACACAGCAGGCCAAGCAGCATCAGAGGAGCAGGAAGGCTGACGTTTCAGGCTTAGACCCTTCTTCAGAAAAAAAGCCTTGACACATCACCTATCCTATCTTCCTCAATATGCTCTGATAAAGTACTTAATTATATATTTTTTTTCTGAAGAAGGGTCTAGGCCCAAAATGTCAGCCTTCCTGCGCCTCTGATGCAGCTTGACCTGCTGTGTTCATCCAACTCTACTGATTGTCAATCCATATTGTTCTGTGCTTTGTGCATTTATTCTATTAAATGTTTGTGATTTTGCAAGGACTTGTAGTCTTGACTGCACATAAGGAGTTTTGTTATTTGAAGAGTATATTTCAAATATCAAGATACATGGAATTTTAACCCTTGAGGTTATAGGTATTATTACGTTACACAGAGCATCCCACCCAGACCCATCCCCATATAACCCACCTAATCTACACATCCCTGAAGATTATGGGCAATTTAGCATGGCCAATCCACCTAGCCTGCACATCTTTGGACTGTGGGAAGAAACCGGAGCACCCGAGGAAATCCACTAGACACAGGGAGAATGTGCAAACTCCACACAGACAGTCACTCAAGAGTGGAATTGAACTCCAGTCCCTGGCGCTGTGAGGCAGGCATTATCTGAAATATTAATTTAGAAGATTGACATCGGATATATAAACACCCATATATAACCACATTGAAATTTTTGGAAAGAACACTTTACACAACAGAGCAGCTCAGATTGACTGCATGCAATTGTTGGGTAAGAAAGTCTAAATTTTTATTTTGTACAAATCTAATTTAATTTGGAGTTGGCATGAAATTGGAATCTACAGTTTAAGTACAATAGGTGCCAGCATTAAGCAGGATTTTAGCAAGGCTAGCAATGAAAGAGCAGGTTAATAATATTCAGCTGAAATTAGATCTTCTTGAAGTGAGTCAGCTAAGCAGTTTGTCTTAGGAGTATATACAACTAACAAACTTAGTGCGACTTAGCACTTATGTGCAACTTACAACAGCATGCCAGTGTCAAATGATTAAGGGAGTCAAGAAGAGGAAGGAAAAGAGATCAAAAACAAAGTTGCTGGAAAAGTTCAGCAGGTCTGGCAGCATCTGTGGAGGAGAAAACAGAGTTAACGTTTCAGGTCCGGTGACCCTTCCTCAGAAGAAAAAGAGATGTTCTCTTCCTTTTATTTTTGTTTTTCCTAACCCTTTTCTATTTCTGAAATTGATCCCGATTCTGGGAAATTACCTTGTTATTCAGAAAGTACATGG